GATCAGGTGATTAGCCGAAAACGGCTGATTGGTTGGGCGGGCAAGTAGCTAACATCGTAGTCTTACCTCTAAGGTGAACTTAGTGTACAGTGTTGCGACGGCCTTCGCTGAAGGCTTTAAACTAAAAAAGAACGTCTTCCTGAAGCCACGAGACTATCTGGAATTGCGGGCCCTCGCAAGGAGAAGCACCGGCGTGCGTGTGCGTGCTTGTGTGTGTGTGGGTTTGTCAGTGTTGGGTTTCAGCAAGAACGTCGACTCCTTACATCAGCCATCGGAGCGCGGCAAGAACGTCGAGGGGTTACATCATCTGCTCCTCGCTGAAAGAACACCCGGAAATTGCATCAGCCGCCCCCGTACTTCGGACACCTCGTGAACACTCGAATACCGGGGAAGGCTCCTCTCTCTCAGGGGGCCTTCTCGCCTTTGGAGGGCTATATCACTTGGGAATGGGGAGCCCGAAATCGCCGATTGCCGATTAACCAGTCGACCATGCTACTTGTATATTCACTGTATATAAAAGTTCTTCTTCAGTACTCCCACTCACGGCCTGTTTCCTTGGGGCCATGCTAGCAGCGAGCCACAGCCCCGACTTTTGCTTCCGCACCTGAGGTCGTCACCCTCCCCAACGCAACAACTGGTTGGCAGCGACGGGATCGACTCCACGCAGACCATTGATCACACTTCTGGCTGAGTGTCAGGCTTTTCCCTTTGAGTACTCGCCAGGCTTTACCTTCTGGGTTAAATAGTGTAAAGCGGGTGTTTTGTTTTGTGACTACCCGTGACGCAGCATTTGTCACCAGAGGTCGGCATTTTAGGTTGCCCTCACTCACCCTCACCCTCACAGCCACACTCACCTAAGCCCCTCACCCACCCTCACAGCTACACTCACCTTCAGCCCCTCACTCACCCTCATCCTCACAGCCACACTCACCTTCAGCCCTTCACTCACCTTCACTGAACCTCACGGCCCTCACGCCCCTCACACACTCACCGCCCTCACGTAGTCATGGCCCTCACCGCCCTCAGGCCCCCCACGCACTCATGGCCCTCACGCCACTCACCGCCCTCACGCCCCTCACTTACTCATGGCCCTCACACCCTCACCGCCGTCACGGCCCTCACACACTCATAGCCTTCAGGCCACTCACCGCCCTCACGCCCCTCACAGCCCTCACGCACTCACGGCCCTCATGGCCCTCACGCCCCTCACGCACTCATGGCCCTCACACCCCTCACGCGCTCGCCGCCCTCACGGCCCTCACATCCCTCACGCCCCTCACGCACTCATGGCCCTCACGCCACTCAGGCCCGCTTCAGATGGAACAATTTCGCCCAGCAACATGACGTCGCAAGGCCAGCAACACGGGCCGCCCGCGTTCACTAGCAGCAACCAATTGATGCAGTTTGCCTACATCATCATGAAATTTTGTTTTTCTTGCACTCTTTAGACACACCATTACGCACTATGAACGTGTTTTATGCTTATAATCTCGTTGAGAATACTAACGCATCTTTCTGAAACGGTTTATTTCCAAAAACGATCAATTTCAAACCAGAACCAAGGCTTTTGTTGTCATAATCACCTGCACGAGGTGTCACGTGAAAATATCGCGTCCCCGTTTGGATGCAGCCGGTTTAAACGTCTTCGAATTGCTCCGAGTTGCTCGCTTGTTTCGAGCCGGACCCGATCTCAGCAATTCGTGTCGATCTAGAGAAAGCTAGGGAACAACCCGCCACCAACACCAAATTGCCGAGTAACTTGCTCCGTCTGAAGGGGGCCTCACCGCACTCATGGCCCTCACACCTTTCACGCACTCACCGCCCTCACGGCCCTCACACTCCTCACGCACCTTACGCACTCATGCCACTCACACACTCACCGCCCTCACGGCCCTCACGCACTCATGGCCCTCACACCCCTCACGCACTCACCGCCCTCCCACCCCTCACGCACTCATGGCCTTCATACCCTCACGCACTCACCGCCCTCACACCTCTCACGCACTCATGGCCCTCACGCCACTCACCGCCCTCACGCCCCTCACGCACTCATGGCCCTCACACCCCTCACGCACTCACCGCCCTCACGGCCCTCACGCACTCACGGTTATCAGGGCCCTCACGGCCCTCACTCACCCTCACACTTATAAATTTTCCAAGTTAAGAAACTCACTCACCCTCACCTCACCTGTGAAGATGAGGGTGAGTGAGGGTGAGTGAGGGTGAGTGAGGGCCCTCATCAGTGAGGTTTGCCGAGGTATGTTTGTTACACGTCATAATAGTATTTTTTTGGGATTTCGCCAGTGCTCGGAACGATCATGGACCTCAATTCGCTGCGTAAGCCAGAATTGATACGTATCTGCGAGGAGTTAGGTGTGGATATCAGGGGATTAAAAAGAAAGCCGCTCATTATCAAGGCAATTCTCGACTTAGGTACAGATGAGGCCGAGTTATCCGAGTGTTGGGAGCAAGTGCAGAGAATAGACAAAAAAAAAATTGAACTAGAGGAACAGGTGCGGAGCGACCAGCTCAAGTCGCAAGAGGCGGCTTTGAAACGACAAGAGCAGGAGCAGAGCGACAGACTCAAGTCGCAAGAGACGGAATTGAAACGCCAAGAGGCAGGAGCTCGAGATGAAGAGACTTGAACTCGAGCTAGTAAAGTCAAGGGGTGATCGGGAAAGCAGCCCGGCATCCAGCGCAGGAGAAGGCAAATCATTTAAGATGCATAACCTAATGCAGCGTTTTAAAATCGGAGAGGACGTTGGTTTGTTACTGGTGAACTTCGAGCGCACTGGCGAAAAGGTCGGGTTCACTAGGCAAACCTGGCCGTAGCGCCTCTTAACGCTTGCCCGGCGGCAGACGTGGTCGCAAGGCTCACGAAAGACAAAGCGGAGGACTATGAAAAGGTCAAAACAAGCCTCCTTAGAAAGTATCGTCTTTCCGCTAGGCCTTTCGGCAGCGTTTTCGCAGCGCCGAGAAGTCGACCGAGTCATTTCCGGAGTTTGCTTACAATTTGAGAGCAAAACAAGTGCAATGGCTCAAAGGCGTGGACGCCCACGGGGACCACAATAAAGTAGTGGGGTGGATTTGCCTATGCAGTTTTTGCGTTGCCTCCCTGAGGAGACCCGCTTTTGGGTTCAGGATAAGCCGGACGCAAGTGCTGTTCAGAGGGCCGCGGAGCTGGCGGAAGAGTTTGCGACTCGCCGGGCCTTAGACAAGAAAGGCCACCCGCGTAAAGAGAAAGCGTCGCCTGGCAAAAGAGATGACAGGAGGTGGCCAGGGGGTCGATTTTCGAGAGACGGGCGGCCGAAGAGGGTCGAGGGCGAAAACCGAAAGGAACCAGCGCGAACGAAAGGAGAGGCCGGCGACGGCGCCGATGGCAGGGTGAATCACGAGAAAAAGAAGTCGTTTGAGGCTCGCCGGCTCCTAACATGCTATAACTGCCTAAAGCCCGGTCATGTTGCGGCCGGATGCAGAGAGCCCAAGGTGGTCTTCGCCTACGTAAATGATGGCGAAGAGAACCTCCGGTTACTAGAGCCATATTTGCGCGACCTAACGGTCAACGGCAGGCAGTGCCCAGTGCTTCGCGATTCGGCCGCCACTATGGATGTGATTCACCCCTCTTACGTGGACTCTACGAAGTACACAGGAGAGTGCGCGTGGAATAAACAGGTGGTAAAAGAGCATAGCGTGTTCCTGCCGGTCGCGCATCGAGGGTCCTTTCGGCGAACTTGAGAGGAGGCGGCCGTGTCGGCCAATCTCCCGTTGGAGTATACGTACCTGTTTTCCAACAGGTCGGAGGAGCTGCTGCGTGAGAGGGGCCAAACGTTTTGTGAGGGCACCGTCCTGGCCTTAACTAGGGCTAAAGCCCGAGACTTGGCAGCAAAACTAGAGTACGGAAATGAAGCAGAAGTTCCCACCAGGAGAACCCCGCTTTCGAACGCCTCGCGTTCGGCAGTCAGGGGTAACGTTGGCGCTGCCGATCCAGAGAGTCGAAAAGAACTAGAAACACCGATAGAGAAAACCTCGGAAGGGAAGGCTCAAGAATGTCTCGACATGGAGTGTTCAGAAGGCCTTTGTGTTACCCCCGAGTCGGGTGAATTGCAGAAACTGCTGGGTGTCGATCGCGATTCTCTGATTGCCCAACGGGAAGCAGACCCCACAATTAAGGATCGAGAACGGAAGAAGGAGTCTCCCGACGAGGGAATGTAGCGTTTCAAATAAGGAAAGGGGTGTGGTATCGGAAGTGTAAAGACCGAAAGAGTATTGAATTTGATCAGCTTGTGGTGCCTGCAAAGTACCGGCGCGATCCCATCCACCTAGCGCATGGCAACTCATGGTCAGGACACTTAGGAGTGAGAAAAACGAAAGATTGCCTCCTCCAGGTGTTTTACTGGCATGGGTGCTTCAAAGAGGTTGAGGAGGTCGTCCGGTCCTGCGACACGTGTCAACAAATTGGAAAACCTCATGACAAGACCAAGACACCGTTAAAGCTCGTGCCAATAATTACAGAACCCTTTCGCCGTTTAAAAGAGCTCAGCTCAGTGGAAGTGGTGAACGCGTTGCTTTCGGTGTTCGAACGCGTTGGATTTTCCGCCTAAATCCAAAGCGACCCGGGGAGTGTGTTCACCTGTTCTCTGAACAATACGTTTTTGGAGAGATGTGGTATTAAGCTGATTCATAGCTCCGTCTACCACCCGGAATCCAACAGCGTAGAAAAATGGCAATCGGTGATGAAACGGGTGCTGCGAGCATTGTGTTATGAACACAAGACTGACTGGGAGGCATGCCTCCCAGCCACGATGTTTGCTTTGAGATCAGTGCCACACGAGGCAACTGGTTTTAGCCCCACCAAGCTAGTATACGGCCGATCTTTGAGATCTCCGCTCCAAATGCTAAGAGAGTCATGGGAGGGTTACGGGGAAGACCCCACTGTAGTGGAGTACGTGCTCGAGCTCCTTGATCGCCTTAACCGCAGTCGAAGTGTTGCCGAAGGTAATATGAAGGACACTCAGGTGAAGGCAAAGCGGTATTACGACCAAACCGCTAAGCCGCGAACATTTTCCGTCGGCGACAAGGTGATGCTCTTGAGGCCATCGACGAAGAATAGGCTCGAGGTGCAATGGGAGGGACCCGTGGAAGTGTTGCATAAACTTTCGGATGTGAACTACGTCGTGAGCACGCCCGGTAAACGTAAAATACAGAGGGTGTATCACAGCAATCTAATAAAGGCGTACCGGCAACGTGAGACTGTGATGAGTTTGACGGTACACCACCCCGAGGAGGTCAGTCTTGCGTTTCTCGAGATTAGTGAAACCCCGATCGCGTGCTCGGTCGAACAGGTACTCGAGAAGGCTGTTGTATCTGCTGATTTGGAACCAAGGCAAATAGGTGATCTGAAGGCACTGCTTGGAGAGTTTATAGATCAGCTCCAGAGTAAGCCAGGAACAACCGATCTTGTAGTTCACGACATCGAGCTTACCACCGACCAGCCCGTGCGGTCAAAGCCCTACCGAGTCTCGCCTAGACAGAGGGAAATCATGGAGCGGGAGGTGAAGCGCATGCTTGATCTTTGGGTGATTGAAGCAGGAAAGAGCGACTTCACTTCCTCTTTGATACTTGTGGAGGTACCGGGAAAAAAACCTCTTGGTGTGTTGACTACCGGCGCCTCAACCTTATCACCAAAGATCATACGTACCCATCCCCAATATTGAAGAACGGGGAAAATGGTGAGCACTGCAAAGTATATCTACACGTTGGACCTCGTTCGAGGTAAAGCCCCTTGATAAAAGCGTTTTCTACAAGTACCGCCAACTATTGTTGTCGAAGCGCGCGAGACACGTGCCATGAGCGGGTGCTGCGCCGCCATTCGCTTCCAAGGCCCGCTCATTTCAGTGCTGCGTCGGCATTTGCTTCCAAGGGCCGCTTGAGACATGGGCCTCCTGCACACGTGCGTATGACGCTACTTGCAAGACAAGCGCAAACACATCGAGGGGCTTTAGTTCGAGGCTTCTGGCAGGTCCCCCTTTCGGTGAGACCGAGCCGGTATGCCGCTTTTATATCCCCCTTTGGAACGTTCCGGCCTCGTGTCCTCAGTTTCGACCTCAAATACGCATCGTTTTTATATTAAAAATAGTGCAAAAGAGACGGGACAAAAATACGAAGAAGCACACAGGATAGCGCTTGTCCTGTGTGCTTCGTCTTTTTGTCCCGTTTTTTTTTTGCGCTATTTTAATATGAATGTCCACTACCAACTTGCCCAGCAGACCAAGCTTTTACAATGCACCGTTTTGTTTTTAAAGCTTAATGGATCGGGTGCTGCGAGGTCTAGAGGAGTTTGCCGTTCCGTACTTAGACGACATCGCCGTGTTTTCCGAGTCCTGGGAGGAACATCTTGCACATCTTCGGGTTGTCTTCGAACGACTCCGAAATGCAGGGCTTACCGTAAAGGCGGAAAAGTGTCAATGGGGAAGGGGAGAAGTAATGTATTTGGGACACGTGATGGGTCGCGGTTGCCGCCAACCGTCCGAGGTAAAGCTTGTAGGCATCGAGGAGTTTCCTCAACTACTCACAAAAACCGACATTAAGTCTTTCCTAGGCATTGCAGGATACTACCAACACTACATCCCAAATTATTTGGATGTTGCTAGCCCACTCACTGACGCCCTCCGAAAGACAGAGCCTCAAGAAGTCCGTTGGAATGATCGAAAAGAGCAGGCTTTTCGCGCTTTGCAGAAGTCTCTGATGAGCAAACCAGTCCCGAGGGCGCCAAATTATGAGCGCACGTTTATCATTCAGTGCGACGCCAGCAACCGCGGTCTTGGGGTCGTGCTAAGCCAGAGGGACGACTTAGGTGGGAAGCATCCCATCTTGTACGTCAGTCGAAAGCTGACAACTCGCGAAGAAGCCTACAGCGCTTCGGAAAAAGAGTGCGCTTGCTTGGTGTGGGCCGTGCAAACGCTTTCGTGCTATGTAGCAGGCTCGTGGTTTATCATCGAGACGGACCATTATTCCCTCCAATGGTTGCCGAATACGTCACCCAAAAATGGCCGACTCCTTCGCTGGAGCCTAGCTTTGCAACAGTTTTCTTTTTAGGTCAGGTACAAAAAGGGTAAACTGCACACCAACACGGATGGCTTGAGCCGACGCTCATGAGTGAGTAGAGAAACGTATTTACTGAGCGAGCTCATGGATACCAAAATTTTACTTTATTTTGCTAAACAATTGTACCCAAGCTGCGATACTATTGATTTTGGTTTCGTGCCTTTTGTTGATTTCTTGTGGGTGCCGAGCCCTGGTTGGGGTTTCGTTTTATTTGTAATCTTGCTAAGAGCGATTTTCATACCTTTTAGTGCCTGGTGTGTGTTTGAAGGGGTTTGCTAAATGCACATTTGCAGTGCGGTCTTGGTTCAATGTTCTCATCCTCTCAAGATTTTTCGCAACCTGCTCCAAGCGCTTGGATGTGAGCGGAGAGAAGGTGCGGCACTCAAGAAAAGCAGGAGGCGGTGATCCACCTAATCGTCGGCAGTTCTGCGGTCCCTCAAAGGAGTGGCTGCTGACCTCTTCTCTTCGGGACCGACTTTCGGTCGGCGTAGGGACTGTTGCGACGGCCTTTGCTGGGAGCTTTGAACTCAAAAAGAACGTCTTGCTGAAGCCACGAGACCATCTGGAATCGCGGGCCCTCACAAGGAGAAACACCGACGTGCGTGTGCGTGCCTGTGTGTGTGTGGGTTTGTCATTGTTGGGTTTCAGCAAGAACGTCGACTCCTTACATCAGCCACCGGAGCGTGGCAAGAACGTCGAGGGATTACATCATCTGCTCCTCGCTGAAAGAACACCCGGAAATTGCATCAGCCGCCCCCGCACTTCGGACACCTCGTGAACACTCGAATACCGGGGAAAGCTCCTCTCTCTCAGAGGGCCTTCTCGCCCTCGGAGGGGCTATATAACTTGGGAATGGAGAGCCCGAAATCGCCGATTGCCGATTAACCAGTCGACCGTCCTACTTGTATATTCACTGCATATAAAAGTTCTCCTTCAGTACTCCAACTCCAGGCCTGTTTCCTCGGGGCCATGCTAGCAGCGAGCCACAGCCCCGACTCTTGCTTCCGCACCTGAGGTCGTCACCCTCCCCAACGCAACAGGGTGTTTTAATGCGTAAGTATTAGAACGCACGTCTAAAAGAAAACCGAGCGGTGTCTTTTTTTTTTTTTTTTTCAGCGCCGAAGAGAGAAGGAGGAGAAGAGGGTGACGCGTGCGCCGCTCCGTCTCTCCCGAGTCTGGGAAACTGACAGACACCACCGGGTTTTCGTCAAAACGAGCCCTTTCATTTCGTCAAAGTCACGCGCACCGCTGGCGCTGAGACACTGAGGAGGGCGCGCTGCGAAACACGTCCAAGATAACAAAGCCGTAGTGCTGAATGAGATGGTGCCATCAGAGAAGGTCAACGTGGGACACAGATTGGAAACGAGGACACGCCAGCGCTCGACTTCGATCTCTGTCCAGCATTGGCCTTCTCTTATAATGCCATCTCATTGAGCACTACGTCCTTGTTATCTAAGAAGGCTTGCGGCGCGGCACGTTGGAATTTCCGCTCAAGCGTCGCCGGATGTTTTTCGCTTTGGGTTTTCGTAGGAGCGGTGCGTGGGCCGTGATGTGTGTCTAGTTAAAACCATTGATGCGATTTCCTCCGCGAGTGATATGAATGGGGTTCCTTCCGAGAGTGGTAGGAATGTGGCAACTTCCACGAATGATATCAATGACCGCATCTTAATGAATCGACGTACTCTGACAAACAGAGAACAGCACAAAATCAGAAAAATTGCAGGATCATTCAATTACGGATTTTTTAGATAATCCGTTAGCACTGATCTTGGGAAACGTCATGCACATCCCCATTTAGGAAACTCTAACGATAACCACCTAACCAGGCCAAAGAAAAAGACAGCAAAAACTAGATGAAGCAAAAGAGAAAGCCAAAAGAGAAAAGTGAAGGGGTCTGGGTTAGCGTTTCCCAAAGGGCGACGTGTGTGGAGTATCAAAGGGTCACGCTAAAGCATTCACTAAGAATCCGTGCCACAATGGATCTTCCTGTAGCTATTTTAAAGCTTTATAAATTTGTTTCAGAAAGCCGTGAAAGCTAGACTTGTGCCTTTTATGCAGGAGAGTTATGCGGCTAGGGGGACATAGTATATGGAACTCCCCATAACGATCAGTCGGCTAATTAAGTAAAGTTCGTTCGTTAACTTTTCATTGAGTAAAAATCGATATACGGCTCCAAGAAGTAACTTGCTGAGCTTCATCGCAAACCACTAAATCAATCATTTTTAGAAATACTTTTTGCGCGTTTGAACCGAAGTACTGCCCTGAAAATACAACTCGTGCAGCAGGTACAAGGCCGGGCTCTGAGATAAGAGTAGGAAAAATCGCACGGGCGCCTTCTCACCGGTAGCCTTGCATCTGCTGCACGAGGGGTAAGTTTAGCGCACTACTGCGCTTCTCACGCGCTCAAATTCTTTCTAGAACAGAGTGATTTTGTAGTTTTCGATAACGCTCAGCAAGGTTCTAGCTACTACATGTGTATTTCCACTAATTAAAAAGTTAATTAACAAATGTTACCTAACTAGCTAACGGATTGTTACAATAAGCCTCCTCTCTTATGTCCCCTTGGCCGTGTAACTCACCTGCGAAAACCGCATAGGTGTAGCTTTCACATTGTATTTTTTTAAAAATCTGTAAAATTTAAAAAAAAAGAACTGTATATAGTTACTCGTTCAAAGGCGGAAATAGCGTGCATTGCCAAAACAACGTGGAAACTATATTCTCAATTTAGCGGTGCAAACCGGTTTCAACCATTCGTTTTGATCCCTGGAGCTGAACCGGACCTGAACTGAAAGCCGCGAACCCGAACAGTAACAGAACCCATAAGAGTTTCCGTTCGACACTATGGCAGGCAATACATTTGGCAGGCGTATAATATGCTTTCGGACAACACGGAATATTAAATGTGTTTGCAAAGCCACCGTTCGTGGTGTATGTGTTACCAAATTCGTTCTAATATACTTCATAGCATGAAGAGGTCACCCTCGGTGCAATGTAATGCTGTGATTACAGTATTGACGGTGTTTACAAATACAGGTTAAACAAATTTAACCACATACTGAATGCCATGTGACTTCGAGACATTCATGAATCAGTTCTCGTGTTTTTGTGAAATTATTTTAGAACTGGACACAAAAACTCAGGTTCCTGAAGGGCTCGTAGAGAAGTATAGTGCGCCGACTCCCCGCTGAATTGCCTGTTAAGTAACGTTATTTTAAATGTTCGACTTCCGGGTGAAAAAAATTTTTTTTTAAACTTTCGCAATTGATTCTATAGATTCCT